TTGTTCCATTTAATGAGGAGCGCCTCCCTCAATAATTAACGATCTCACATTTGCCTATTTTCTTGCCTGATGAAAAGAATCAATTTTAATTCGTTGTAAATTACAGCCATGCTTTGGGGTGTTATTTGCTTACAGGAAACAAATCAAGTGACTTAGGCTCCTGTTTACTTTTCCAGCTCTGCATAACCCTAAACACAAATGACAAATCAAGCTCTGTCCTTTCGCTAGGCAGAATTTGTTATCAAGAAACGAGGAGAAAGGGGTGGGGGACTATAAACACCTGTTTGTATTTCAAGCAACCTTTTAGAAAATATGACTTATCTGGAAATCAGGTACAGTGGTTGCAGCATGCTACGGAGCCCGGCTGAATCATTCTAGCCATACTTAAATATTATGCTGATCTCTCTTTGCTTTAGGAGCGTAAATTGCTTTCAGCATTGTGTAGCTATAATATGCATACTTCTTTGCAAGCAACTTTTCAAAGTTTAAACACACACACAAGATAAGAGTGATTCCAGTTATCACTTTCTAAGGTGGGCAGCTATCAGATGTTCCGAAGACATACTTTCTGTTCGAGGTCTAAGGTAGTATCATTATTTTTAAGCATATTTAACAATATGGTTCCGTCCCCCTCTTTTTCAAATATATCCGGCTATGCCAATGGCATCATCTGAGGTTCTCTCTTCTTTGAGAGATTGTATATGGAAGCTCCGAGCAGCGAATCGGTTGCTTTAGATTGAAAGGCTGGCTTATTTCAATTAATTTTCATCAGAACTATGACAGCCAGTCTTTTATGGGGAAAAAGCTATTTTAATATAAGTATGTTTGGACATAATCCCTCCCCCCTCTATTCCATTCAAAAACAGACTTCCTATGTGAAAGTCAACACGCAAACATGTATATCTAGTTTATTTGGGTGGTTTTAGGGTATCAAACTTTTATTTGTAAACATAACATGCTAATATATTATGGTTTATTCAATCAGTCCTGAGTAGTCTGATTTATGGTGAAAGTGAAAGAGATGTTAGTGTAAAGCATTTTAAAAGATATATTTTTGTTTTAGAGACAGAACAGAGTTCCAGGAGAACGCTTTCTGCTAATATATGAACATTTTTATTTGTAAGCCACAATGGAAAAGCAATCTACTTTTTTAAAAAAAACATGAACTCACACCAACTGGCTGGATAAATAAACCCTCAGCCATAAGA